CTCACTCTCAAATATAGATTATAGTTTGAGAACACATTTGCAGATTTAAGTATCATTCCAAGGTAAATGGCAGTTGTATTTCCAATTACCTGAAGACATTTAATGTCTTAGTCTGACTAGAGTACATAATTAAGTTCCAGATTTAAAAGAACTCTTGGTGGATAGCAAAGTAGAACTAAAAGCAAATAGATGGTCAGATAGTTACTATCAGATTCTCTCTTAAATCTATTTATCAGGAAGAAATGGAATACATAATTCACCTATCATAATTCAGTTAAAGCAGAAAATATTCCTACAAAGATACATAGCTGATTGTGTAATACATTTTTTTTTTAGAAAAGATGTTAGAGATTAGCCACAAAGGATTAGAACTTTCAATCTCATTGTGTCAGAGCTTTTATTTTTCCCCAAGCCAATCTAGGGGGAGGGTTCACCCTAAGGTTTATTGATCACAGCCCTTTGTCAACAAAGTAACTAATATTTTGCTAGAGATTAATCTACTTTACCCTTTTCTCCTACAGATTAGGAATATTTTACTATACTACTACAATACATTTTTCCCTAGAGCCATTTGACTTTTAAACATTTTTTTCAATGCCCAATAATAACTATCATTGATACCAGTGTTTCCCAAGAGTCTTTAAATTGGGTTACATTATTCAAGTGGTTCTGCCATTGTTAATATGAAATATAGGAATTCAACCATCAACAATGGGCACCAAACTGAAGGTACTGATCTTCAGTCTGATTTGTCACAGGCAAGCTATCATTCTCCACTATCTGAGGCATGCAAAAACTATGTCTATTCATTTGGTAAAACATTTCTTATTTTGGTCTTCTTAGTAATTTATGAATACCTTTATATAGCATTCAAACAAAGCTTTGCAGCTATGACAAAAACCAAAGCACACGCAAATGAATCACTGATCAATTTATAAAAACAGAGACAGAACAACAAAACATTATGTCCCCTAAGACACAACTTCTTGAGAATCACATAATGAAAAACTATGACTTCCTGTTCTATAACCATATTACTCAAATGAAGAAAATGATGACTAGTGACTCACAATTCTATGATTAAGTGCGTTCATTTTTATTCAATTTTTTAATAATTTGTGCATCATAGAAGAAAATTATTTGTTTAATGTAACATATGGACTATCAAGCTACAGCTAGATTTTGTTTTATCAGTTACAAAATAGATCATCTACTCCATAAATACAATCCTCTGAAATGATCTATCTACCACAATCTTAAAATTTCCATACCAAGTCACACATAGAAAGCATAGACATAAGTTAGAGATCATTATGCATCTAGATGAAAGAAGGATGGGAGAAAAAAACTCCAAGGCCAATAAAATTCTTCAATACATCATCACTCCAGTAATCCTAACCAAAGGTCAGTGTTGGTTTTTGCTAAAAGTTACAACAGTTTATTAAGTTACATAGGCATTGGGCTTTCTATTCCTTTCCCCTTAAAGTATAAATTTACAAGGCATTAAAATCTCAAAATTACAGGGGCTGTGGCTGTGGCTCAGTGGTAGAGCTCTTGCCTTGCACATGTGAGGCACTGGAGTTGATCCTCGGTACCACATAAAAATAAATGAATAAAGATATTGAAAAATATGTTATTTTTAAAAAATAACAAAATACAAATTGGGACATATACTACTACTGTGTACAGTCAAATATAAACATGAACAATTTGGAACAGGCAGAAATCACTTCACATGGACAGACAACTTGAGAACTACACTCCTGCTAAATGGTTCCCATCAAGAGAAACACCATTAAGGCTTGAATTTTCACATCTAAAATTATAAAATACCAGTTTAGGTTTTCCAAAGAATTCATGTCTTTTCTATCTTCTTGGCTTTGAGTGAACAGCTGTTTACCCCCACCCTCACCCTCACTTACTTGCATTCACCTTTAGACACACTATCCCTCCTGTATACTAGCTCCCATTTTACCATTTCCCTGTATGAATAGGCCTACACCACCCTTCTCCCTATAGGCTTACTCCTTCCCTTACCTCTTATCTCATGCTCACATTTATCTCCTCATGCCTACTACCTGCCACATATTTATGATGTGTAAGCACATGCTCTTTGGATTCAAACAGCTTGCATTTTAATCAATCTTTGTGACTTATAAGCTGTATGATGTTGAGAAAGTTGTTTAACCTCTCTGAAGCTGCATTTCCTTCTTGGAAAAATAGAGATAATCATAAGACTACTGTCAATAAAATACAATATGTGCCCAACACACAAGTGTTCCAACTGGATATTGTTATTATCTATCAAGAATTAATTGCAAAGACCAATGTACTTACATTCATTTCTAAACTTCTGATAAGTACTACTCCTCTCTACTGGGGCAGAATCAGGTACATGTTTGAAAAATTGTTCTATTTTTCACACTGGGCTATGAGGTACAGGAAGTCTTGGGCTACCACTCAAATTAAGTTAATATCATCTTATTAATTACCACAGATCCATATTTACCTGTGCTCAATTAAAGATATAATATTGGTTATTTTATGACATCCAGCAGGAAGAGTTAGAGAACAATCAGATATTAACAATCCATAGCTAAAAGACTATTAAATATTCTTCAGACAACTACACTCAGTCACTTATAGGAGTATCTCATTTTATGCAATTATTTTGTTCCACCAGGATATTTGCCTCAAATTTTCCAAGTCATTTGTTAAAAACAGCAATGTCTCAATCTTAAAGAAAACTTCAGTATTGCAAAATGAGGAATCTCTTTCTGAAGTAAATAATCAACATTCCATTTATGTTTATGTACATTTTAGTATAATTTAATAGTTCTGTAAGATTATAACAAAGCAATGATTATTTTGGCAATATGCAATATAATTTTGATAGCAAGTTCACATTAACTGTAATTAGAGCAAAATGAACAAATATTTAATTATCCATGAGAAAAATAAAGAACTAAACACAAACAACAAAAACTATCTTTTGCGTACTCCTCTAGAAAGGAGTCCAATAAAGGAAATTTAAGTGTCAGTCACTTCTAAGGCTCTCAGACATTTAAAACTTAAGAAAGAGACAGTTGTTCTTATTTGAAATGAAATTCTGAAAACACTTTCTTCCTCAATCTACTTCTGAGGGAGGGGTAGAAGAGAGAGAAAACAAAGAAGAAATAGCATTGTTGAAGCTGTATGACCCCAGACTAACTGCCTGATCTGCTCAATCTAATTAGGGATTAACTAAAGGCATTAAGCTGGTCTAATTATTCTATTAGATTGAGACTCTAAGCAATTCAAATTTTACTTTACAATACCAGTAAAGCAAGAGGCTTCTAAAATGGGTACAAAGGAAATACAAAATTTTCTTTTTATTCGCCTGAACCTTGCTCAAAATATATGATTAAGTTTTCTGATATTTCAAAACTATCTAAACACACCCACACATAGTAGCTGGAGATGACAAAGTTCAAGGTTCTTGGATTCTACATATCCTTCAGTTCTATTCAGCCTCCTTTAGATATTAATATATACAGAACAAAAACCAAATAATCACAACTCAGAATCAAACAGTTGCTCTAAAGCTCAAGGAGAGGGAGAAGTTACCTACCTCCTACATCCAGAATCCCCATATCTGCTACTCCCACTTTTGGCTTTTCTCTTGAGTTACAAAAAAGAGAGACATTCTTTTAATGTGCATAAATATTCAGCTTTCCTCTTATTTTAGACTGTTCTTCCCAGAGCTGCTGAAAGTTGTTATTCTAAGTAATTAGCAAATGGATTTTGGGGAAATATCATATCATCTGAAAGGCAGCAACTCAGCTTGCCACTTCAGAAGAAGCCACTTGTTAGTTCCATTTCCAGTTCTGAATATATTTAAAGCAGTTATGAAATATTAGATATATAATCTTTTGAAAGAAAAAAAAGTCAAAACAAGAAACAATATTGGACATCATGTTCCATGTCACATTGATGTGGGGAGGAAGAGAAGTATGGGAGGATAGGGAGATGGGCTTCCTGGGCAGTAGAGCACAAAGAGCACCTTCAGATGTTTGCTAAGAAACTTACCAAAAGGCTTTCTAAAGAAGAAAAAATGCCTGACTGATGTTTTGATTGGACTAGAGGATGCAAGAATGCCTCATGGACACTGAATATCTCACCCAGGATTGGGTAGGGGGCAGACTTTCTTAAACCTATATATCTATATAAACCCATAGACAATAGCCACTCTTAGGTATTCCATTCTTGGGACCCCCTCCCTTTTTGTGAACTCTGCTATCACTCTAATCAATCCTGTTACTTTGCTCTCACCCTTGTGTTCCATGGATTTTATTGTTCAAATTCATAAGACAAGGGACCCAACTCCATGCTCCGTTTTTTTTTAAGTTAAAAAATAAACAACTTTGTATTATTGTCCCCAACTGCCTCCCCCATTTTGTCTAATTCTAGCAGGCCTTAAAGTGAAGTTAAATATCCTCTACACACTCTCAAAATAACTCTATTATAGGGGTCTCACTCTCAAAATAATCCTAATGTCTCCATAGGCCTCCATTCAATCCCCATCATTAACAGCATATGTACCCCCATCCTTTACAGAGCTGCAGTCCTACCCTTGTCTTAGTACCATATTTGTTAAATATCTCATGCCTGAAACTCATGAGTGTGATTTCACTTGACTTCTTTGCCTAATCCTAAAGACCCTATACCACCATATCTCCCATTTCCAAAACTCGGTCGGTTTCTTTCTTTCTTTCTTTTTTTTTTTTTTTTTTTTTTAAGAGGAGAAATGTAGCCCCAACGCAAACAAAGCTGAACTCCACGGAAAAATGAAGTCGATGCAACAAAGGAAGAAATGGAAGAAGGGGGGGGGGTGAGATGGGGGATGCGTGTGTCTTCCAAAGGAGAAGCTGCCTGAAGAACTTCTGCAATTTAACGGTTCTGGGGCAGAAGAGGTCTGGTGTGTAAGAAAACAAGAAAGGTGGGTTCCCCACTCTCCTTACCGCCGTAGAGCCAGAAGAAGATGCAATGTATACACGAATCACCATCCTGGGAACAGCGGCTGGCGGTTGTTTGGGTCCTGGAATGAGCTGCGGAGCAGCTGCAGCAAAGGCTGAAATCCAGCTAGGGGCCAAACAGAGGTTGAAAGAGGAGGGTGGGGGAAGGTGGAAGGGGAATTCGACAGAGCCCCGCCTCCACCCTTAGCTGCTTTCAATGGGCTCAGAGCACTGCTGTCCCAGCCCCAAACCCCGGAAGGCACGCCGTTCGCCTCATTTCTATTTTTTTTTTTAAATAGGGAATCTCGAATAGCACCGCGAGATCTGTCGAAACCATTGTTGCTGGGGTTTTTGTTTGTTTGTTTGTTTGTTTTTTGGTTTTTTACTATTCCCTCTCCGCGAAGAGGGGAGAAGAAAGAGAGAGAAAAAAAAAGGAACAGAAAAAGGGATCACTTGAATTCCACGAAAATGAAGGACGTTTTCCTGTGAAGACTAAAAGTTTTACGCGTAACTTCCTGCTCAGAAATGTACGCAAATCAGAAGGTAGATCTTCCTTAAGAAAGTAAGCTGTGTTGAATCCAAACACTAGTAAGAAAATCCATGCTCTCAAAGGTTTGCTGATTTTAAAACTTCTATCATGTAGTGATTTGTTTTTGTTGTTAGCTGGTTGCAGGTATTGGGCACTGAAGTACTTGGACGATGTCCACAGAGGGTTAAAGAGAAGTTTCAGTTTTCTTAAGCCCGGGAAAAGCAGGATTGGTTTCCTTTTTCAGTTTTGTGTTTTGTAAAAAATAGGGGATCTTGTGGGAATTTGCAGGAGGCTTGATTGGCAAACCCCCAAACAAAGGAGTAAATTGCAAAACTAAAAAAAAAAAAAAAAAAAAGGAAAGAAAATAATGTGTAAGAAAGTGTTTTGTTTTACTTTTCAATTGACTAATGAAAAAGAATTTGAAGCATATATTGATGGAGATGCTGAAATGGTGAAGAGAGATGGTTATTTGTATCTCTAGGGAAATGAGCAAACAATTGCTAACATCCAAGGAGGATGGTAAAAAATATAGTTTTGAATTCCCAGATTATGTCTAATGAAGAAAGAAATGTGCAAGATGAATTACAGTGGAGAGAGGTAATCAGTCACCTGTCCTAATTTTTTTTTTACTTTTTCTTTGCAATTTTTTCTTCCTGTCCATTCTAGTGGTATACCACCTTTTGCCAGGCTCAAAAATTGCAGTAGCTCTGGGGACAGAACTCAGTTGGTACAGTGCATGCCTTGCATGCACAAGGCCCTTGGTTCAATCCCCAGCTCCAAAAAAAAAAAAAAAAAAAAAAAAAAAAAGAAAGGAAAAAAATTGTAGTCGCTTCTTAGCTTCTTAACTGTTCCCTTCCACTGGTTCTTCCTTCTCCATACTACTTAAAATATTAATTCCACATTAATGTTTACATATGGTCCATATCAAAACCTTGAGAGATAGGTACTATTTTATTAATTTTAGAGTTAAGAAACCGAAACTCAGGAAAACAATTTACTTTTCCAGAGTCATATATCTGGCAACTCCAACTCATTGTCACACACTGCCTGGAACAAGAAAAGTATTCAAAACATTTTAGCATATTTTCTTCCTAAAATACAACTTTTATATATCTCAGAAAACAATGTACGTTGGACTACTTAATATTGCTCTCCAGTGAATAACAAAACCTAAATTGTATTTTGAGAGAGCTCCTATCATAATCTGACACTACACTATTCACAAAACCTTACCCACTGCTCACACAAATCTTTCTTATATAATCATTGTTGACCTTTTACTATAATCATCTTTCTCATTTTCACTTTCATGCACTTACTGTCTATCCTTTTATTTATCTCCTTCATCTTCTCATACCCTCATAACCTTTTCTGACCTCTCCACCTATCCACCTCAACCTTTTTTAGACATAATTCAAAATCTTTATAATCAGACAATTCAGGGTACTATAATCACCCTCCTCATTGCTTCCTAGCCCACAAGACAGGAAAATCTTCCTTCTGGTTTTAAATTGGCAAAATAGACATAATTTGTCTGATGCTACCACATTACAACCTGACTCCCTTCAATGGACCACATGTGCTCTCTTTGGACCTGTAGTCTCTTTTAAAGATGAAAAAATAGAGAAAGAAAGAAAACTCTTTCTATTAATTCTACAAACTACAACATGAAATTATATTCAGAGAATTGAATGGCAGAATTAGCAGGGAGTCTGGTAGGCCATGCCTGGGTCATTGAGGAATGGGAAGATGATTTCTGAATTTTTCTTTTCTTTCCTTTTATTTATTTATTTTTCCATGGGGAATTGAACCCAGGGACACTCAACCACTGAGCCACATCCCAAGCGATTTTTATTTTTTTATTTTGTGACAGGGTCTTGCTAAGTTGCTTAGTGCCTCATTAAGTTGCTCAGGGTGACTTTGAACTTGTGATCCTCCTGACTCAGCCTCCCAAATTGCTGGGATTACAGACATGCACTACCATGCCTGGCATGAATATATTTCTTTTAAATAAAGATGTATGAATCTAAGTGAATAGTCCCCAATAAATTGATTTATAAATTATTATTATTAAATTATTAATTAAATTATTATTAAATTATTATTGATTTATAAATTATTATTAATTTATAAAGTTTGGTGGTCCTTGTTAATAGACTTGGAAAGCAGTTTGTTCAAAGGAACTTTACCAATATGTCTATCCTAGATGTTGACAATATGCAACAGTGGTCCACTTTACCTACCCATCATTACTTACTTTTGAAAAAATATTTATTTTCTAGTTGTATGTGGACACAATATATTTTTATTTATTTATTTATTCATTTATTTGTATGTTGTGCTGAGGATCGAACACAGGACCTTGCACATACTAGGCAAGAAATTTCTCTGTTTAAACTTATGAGAAAATAAAAATTGTATTTATCTCACAATACAAAAAGACTACAAGATTACAATTAAGAAATGTTTAATGAAATATCTACAAAACATTACCATGTCAACTTCATAAGATACTAAATTTAGTATTCACAAACATTTCATTTAATTTAAAAAAAAAATTAGATTTAAAACTTTAAAACTTTGTTTCCACATCAGCAGTATTCCCAGGTACCCATAATGGCTGTAGAGAAATCACTGTTAAGCATTATTTAAGTGAATTGCTATGTCTGAATAATTTTAAATTGAAAAACGAAATTATAAAAATGTTAATAATGTTAATAAATGTTAACAACTTACTATTTATATTTAAGTAAGATTGTGAGCATATTTGCATTTTCTTATGTTTATACACTGTGGAGTGGTAATTCCAAACATGAATGCCTGGAGTCTTGATCCTCTTCAGAGCCTTGATTGTTGGATGAGCCACCAAAAATCTCAGTCAATGATTCCCTGGTTCCTACCTTTCTTCTTTCTCTGACAGACTGTAGATAAGGAATATAACACAAAACACATTAACATATAGGTATCTAAATTATACACACTTAAAATATACTGCATTTTGAAACCTTCCTTTTGTTCATCCCAAGAGTCAACAGAAAGGCATTATCTGTGATGGACCTAGTGTAAACTAAATACCAGAAAGTCGTGCTTAAGAGTTCTCACCCTGTCTCTGTTACCTGCTATATGGTAAAGTGCATCAGAAAGAAGCAACTTTAGGATTCTGTGCCAGAAGATATCTTACAAGTATGGTGTTCTGAGTTCTGATCATATCCAAAGCTCTGTGTTCATTGTTAAGGCCACTAGAGGGTACAATTCACCCATGGAAAATAAATTGCTGTGTTTGACAAAGCAAGACAGGAATTTTAACAGTTCTGTACAGAATACCAACAGAGGAATAAAATGTCATTTCGTACGTTATCCCTGATAAGTTCTAATATCTCAGGGAATAATGACTATTTATAAAATCTTCTGGTGCTTAGAGTAAGGGCCTTGACCCACTTTTCTTTCTTTAGGTATCACTGATTACAGAAAAAGAGTGAGTAAATTCAGTTCTAGTTAGGAAAAGATGAAATGGGGCTATGGTGAAAGAAAATTTCTTGGGTATTATTTCTTTCCAACAAAGGTTTGTTTTGAGACCTCTTTCTCAAATACATACACACACATGCACACATGATAAACCAAAAGGTACCTAAAAGGTCATTCCATCTAACCATTTAATTTTCCACAAAACCCTACCAATAATAACACCATCAAGTGGGCATCCAAAGATAAATACCAGGCTGGGGTTGTGGCTTAGTGGTAGAGTGCTCACCTAGCACATGTGAGACACTGGCTTCAATCCTTAGCACCATATAAAAATAAATAAGTAAAATAAAGGTGTTATGTCCATCTACAACTAAAAAATATTTTTAAAAAAGTTAATACCTGAGGCTAGGGCTGGGGCTTAGCGGTAGTACACTTGCCTGGCATGTGTGAGCACTGGGTTTGATTCTCAGCACTGCATATAAATAAGTAAAATAAAGATCTATCAACAACAACCAAAAGAAATTTTTTAAAGTTAATGCCTGAGAACACCTCCAGTTACACTCAACTCACAATTTCTGAGGCATTTGTGCTCCATTTTTTAAAATCAGATCTAAATATGTGAAAAGGTTTTCCTAAAGTTAAGCTGAGATCTATTTCCTTATGTCTTTTTGATACTAATAATTCCTAGTTATAACTTATCTCTATATTTGTGTGGGAAACTTCTGGGCTCCAATTTAAAATTTCCAGCTTCTCTATTTTTCAGATGTGTTTATATCTACAGATCTTTCTTCTCAATATGTTTCAGTTTTTACTTTTCTCTCTTCTACAAGGTGTGGTCCCTAGAAATATAGTGTGACTAGCATCATGTATGGGATTCTCTCTCTAAGTCTTGTGCTTCTCTTTTAGCACCCCATTTGGTGTGGAATAGTATTTCTTTGTGATTTTATTTTATATTTCCCTAATCATCAAAAATCTGTGCACATTTTCTTTTTTCCTTCAATCATATTTTTTTTGTTGTTGTTGTTGTTGTTTCACAACAGAGTCTCACTAACTTGTGTAGGGCCTCACTAAATTGCTGAGGCTGGTCTTGAACTTATGATCCTCCTGTCTAATTATATATTTTAAAAGTTTTATTGGCAAGCATTAGTTGAGCATATTAATTGTGTTCAGTGTGATATTCCAATACATGTATATAGCATACACTGATCAAATTCAAACATCATTTTCACAACTTCCCCCCAACAACTTTTCCAATTTCCAGTAATCCCC